CGTCGTGTATGTGTGTGTGTGTGTGTGTGTGTGTGTGTGTGTCGGTGTGTGTGTGTGTGTGTGTGTGTGTGTGTGTGTGTGTGTGTGTGTGTGTGTGTGTGTGTGTGTGTGTGTGTGTGTGGTGTGCGCGCGCGCATTATTATATATAAATATATAATATATATATATATATTATATATATATATATATATTAATATATATATATATATATACTATATATATATTATATATAAATATATATATATATTATTTATATATATATATATATTAATGATATAATAACAGATGCCAAAATTGCAGCTTAGTAAAAGAGCTCAAGAGCGAAATCTATCCCGCAGATGGCTCCGGCCGAAAGAAGAGAGGTCCCATTAGCGCGGCCGAGAGTGCTTGACGGAGACGCCGCACAGGAGGGGTGCAGGGGGGGGGGCGCCGGCCATTTCACTGCCCGCGCGAAACACCTGCCAAGCCATTGGAAAGTACAAATGAAAAACAATTTTACTCGAATGCTGTTGAGGCAATATCATATGCATTTCATAGATTACATTTTAGCTTGCCGTTTTTAACGAATAAGAAAAAATTACTTTAACAGCAAAACGCTGTGGAATCGCAATATTAACAGTTGTGAAAATGTTGATTGCAAGAGGTCAAGGTTGAGCGGGTTTATCGTTCAGTTTTCCTTGACCGGCATCAATCCATTGCACTCCCACTAACGCCATTAGAAGCAGTAGCAGTAGTATGATTATAATCATCATTATCATCCTCTTCATACAAGTCGTGTATTTTGTTAATCTTTATTATTGCTGTATTCTATTCTATTATCTCTCTTTGTTGTTATTTCTATTATCGCATGTATTATCAACACTATGTGGCCAATGCTGTCCATGCCTCTAATCGCAACGTTATCGGTTCTTTTGCTAATTCCTGTGCAAAATGCACTTCTCTCTTGGTTCATCACCATGTTGCTTGTCATCATAACGGTGATGCTGAAAGAATTAACGCTTTTAACATCAGTATTATGTTTCATTAGCTTACTGACAGTATGTTATACTATCATTATTAACATTTTGTTCTAATTATCACCATAATCATTGTTATAATCATTATGTCATCAATGATCATTGCTTTTCCATTATTACTCTTAGTAAGATTAACATCTTTTCATATTGCATTGCAAATATTAACATTACTGTGAATGTTCGTTCATTATCGATATTCTTTTCATTCCTTTGCATATCTCATCATTGCATATAAAATATCACTATTATTAATATCATCATTTTTTGTTTTCATAATCCTTATCGTTATTACAGTTATCGTTATATTTATTATTATTATTATTATTATTACTATTATATTATCATTATTTATACCATTATAATCAATCATCATTATTCATTATCATTATTCATATATTATTATTATTGTTATTGTTATTATTTTTTATTATTATCATTACCATTATTATATCATAATGATATCAATTATAAAGTTATTCGTATTATTATATTATATTATTATAATTATCATGACTATTATTATTATTGTTATCATTATTACTATGACTATCATCATCATTATTATCTCAATCTCAATCTCAATGATAACGCGCAGGGCGCATAACACGCATAAAATTATCATTATCATTACTATCGTTTCTAGTAATAGTATTAATGGCATTATCATTATACTCGTTACAATTATCATTGTAACTGTTATGACATTATCATTATTATTTCTTTTTCTTACTTACTGTAATTTTTATCATTATAATTATTATTATTATTATTATTATTATTATTATTATTATTATTATTGCTGCTGTTGTTGTTGTTGTTCTTATTGCTACCATCATCATTACTATTGCTACTATCATTGATATCATTATAACTATTAGTATTGTTATTATTATCATCATTATTATCTTTCTCATGTTATTATTACAATTATTATCAATAGTATTACAATCAATGTAATTATTATTATTTATTATTATTATCACTCTAATTATCATTATTGGCATTATCAATCATTTTCATCATTATCGCTGTTATTACTACCGTTATTATTATCATTATTATTATTACCATTGTTGCTGTTATTGTTTATTATTATCAACAATATTATCATTAATCATGTTCGTTATCATTATCGCTTGTATTAACATTAATTATTGTTGTCATTTATCATTATAATTTGTTGCTTGTTGTTTTTCCTAATTTTATTGTCAATATTATCATAATTATCTTTTTATTATTATCATCATTTATCATTAGTATAGTGTTGTTGTCATTATAATAATTATCTTTATTATAATCATTAATCATCATGATTTTTATTATTGTTAATATTATTTACTAATATAATTTTTTTTTATTTAATTAATTATCATTATCATTGTTATTGTTATTAATTATTATCATTATTATTGTTGTTATTGTTGTTGTTTTAATTATTATCATTATCATCATTATTATTGTTATCATAATTTTTATCTTTATTGCGGTTGATCTTGTTAATATCATATTATCATTCTTATAATTGTTATTATTATCATTATCATTATTATCATTATTATTGTATTATTATTATTATTATTATTATTATTATTATTATTTATTATTATTATTATTATTATTATTATTAATTATTATTATACATTATCCTCATTATTATCATTTATATCGCTATCATCATTATCATCATCATCATCATTATCATTACTGTTATTGCTAGCACTAGTATTATCGCCTTTGCTATGTTATCATTATTATTGTTTGTGTTGCTATTTTATTATCGCTATCATTACTATTAATATATTAATCTTTTCTTTGTCTTATCATTATTGTTATTGTTATCATTATCATTATTGTCATTATCATGAATATTGCTTTCATCATTATTTTTGAATTACAACTTCTGTTGTTATCACCATTAATAATACTTTAGTCAATATTATTATCTTCATCATCATTACTATTATGTTTGTTAATATTATTGTTATCATCATTATTTTTGTCATTAATATCATCATTATCATTATCATCATGATCATTTTTATCATTGTTATTATTATCATTATTACTTTATGAATTATTATTCCATTATTGTTAATTATTATCATAATCATTATCATCACCATTATTATTATTGCTATTATTATTATCATCATTATTATCATTATCATTATTGTTATCATTGTTATTTCTTATTATTGCTATTATCACTATTATAATTTTTTTTATTATATTATAATTATCATCATCACATCATCATTTTCATTATCTTTACAATTACAATTCTTGGTCTGTGTTATTATCAACATAATCATCGTCGTTACTAACATTACAGTTAAAATGCCATTGTCAATATTCATATTATAAACTATCATTATTATCGTAATTGTCATTATTGATATTATCATTTTTGTCATAATTATTCTTATCAACAGTTACAATCATTATTTATTATTATTTCATTATCATTATAATTTTCATTATGATTAATTATATCATATTATATTTGTTATTATTGTTACCATAATCATTATTGTTATTAATATTATTATTTCCATCATTATGATTATTATTGTTGTTGTTATTAATTATGATATTATCATTGTCATTATTACTGTTATTATTGTTATTAGTAATGGTATTATATTATTATTATTATTATCATTGTTATTATTATTATTATTATATCACTATTATTATTATTATGATATTATAATTATTGTTCTTATTATCATTTTTTTGTTATTATTATTATCATTATCATCATTATCGTCATCATTTTACCATTATCATTGAGCAATATCATTGCTCTTATTATCATTATTATTAACATAAATATTGATATTATTGTTATTATCATAAACATTATTGCTATGATTATCATTAACATTGTTATTATCAATATCAATAATACTATTAATAGTAGTATCGCTAAATTAATTATCATACTATTATCAGAATAATCGTTATCAAATTTAATACATGAATATTATCACCATTATTGTTAGTAGTAGTAATATTGTAATTATTACTATTATTATCATTATTATTATTACTACTACTACTATCATTATTATTATTATCATTATCATTATTAATAATGTTGTTGTTGTTGCTGTTGTTGTTATTATCATTATTATCATTATCATCAGGATCATTATCATCATCGTTATTATTATCATTATCATTTTTTTTTTATTATCATCATAATAACTATTGCTGCTGTTGTTGTTATTATCATTATCATTATTCTTTATTATCATATTTATTATCATTACCATTTTTCTATTAATAT